TTTAGAAATAGAGTGTGGGGCATGTTACACCTACTGAAGGTTTTTTCCTCCATTCAGTCTGCACCAAAGTCAGGCTGATTAAACCCTCTACATCCTGCAGTTTCGAGAAGCAGGCTGTCCTCCCTGTGGAGAAGCAAGAACCTTTTGTTATAATGGTACAGTCTCAGGAAGAATTTTCCCTGGTGGCTGTTGGGTATAGGCTTCTCCTGTGTCCTTGACATAGCACTGGGTCACCTTACAGATAGATTTGTGCATTAGTCTCTAGACTTGGTGGGCATTTTAAAAAAATCATCAGCATTGTATTTATTTCACATAGTGGGTTCCCATTGGCTTTGGAAACAGGAAAGAATCCAGCCAGGAAAATGAACCTTCACAAATACATACATTTATTGGAAGTTTATTAAAATATAATTGAAAGTTTCATATTTGCATGGGCCTTTGGAGCACATTGGTTAGCAGGTGCTTCTAGTTAAGTTGGTTATAATAAACACAGTGCATCAGAGAGGGAATTTGGCATTTTCCCTATAGTGGTGTGTGAAACCTTCAAGGTATGTAGTGATGAATTTAAACTAGAAAGCAAAGATGTTTGTATGAAGATTTGAGAGTCAGAATGATTGGGAAGGAACTTGATTTAGTAGTCATTTTGAGAGAACCTTGGGGTGCATTGATTCAAGTCAATACTTGATGGTTGACTATGTATGGCAGAGTTTTATGGGGATGAAAGAGAGAGATGGAGGGGATTCTAAGATATCGGTTAGAGAAGAGAGGGAGACCCCCGCTAGGTGGTAGGGTGGTGTCCAGAGACTAGAGAAGGTTATGTGTTAGATGTGACATTTGAATTGGGCCCAGGAAAATTCTCATGCATGAACACAGGTAAGTAGAGAAGGATTGTTGGTAGAGATTGAATCAGAGGCATGAGAGTCAGAGCAGTTTGGGCTGGTGGAGTACGAAATGCTAGGTGGTAGGGAGTGTTTGAAGTGATTCCAATTCCTAGCTAAGGAGTTTAGCCTTCATTCATGATGGGTTGCTGATCAGCGAAGGGTTTGGAACCAGGGAGCTGACGTTGATTCTGTAAGTCTGCCTGTGGAGTAGGTGTTAGGCATTGGTAGCTCTGTGAGGCCGAGGCAGGGACTGACATTGGCAAGCAGGTGTGTCCTGATAGTGACCGCTTGGCCGTTAGTTTTTTTTTTCCCCCTAAAAACTTTTCATCCTGATGGTGATGATCAAAGCTACCAATTATTGATCATTTTCTGCATCCTGTGCATGGGGCTGAGTAACTCACCCTTTTAGTCACTCTGATGTACATATATTATTGATCCTGTTGTAGGATGAAGAAGGTCAGACTCAGCAGAGGTTAGACCTGCTGCTCCAGGTCGCATGGCTGAATGGCAGAGCTGGGATTGGGATTCAGGGCCATCTGTTCCCAAGATCACTCTGCCCCTACGGCTGCCTGTGGGCTCTGTTGCTGTGCTGCAGGACACCTTCACCAGGAGCCTTGCTGCACTGCGCGCCGCCCTGCCACACCTCCGTTCTCCCCATATGTGTTTATCGTTTTATGTGATTTCATGTACCAGAGTGGGCATCTCACGCCTGTGTGTGTGTCCTGGGCCAGCTGTGTGACCCTGGGGATGCCTGCAGTGCCTGGGTCTGTAAGGTGGTAGTGAACTGTGTGGCCTCTAGAAGCCCTCTGCTTGGGGTTAGGCATGGACAGAGAGGTGCAGTGGCTGTAGGATTCTTGGATGCTAGGGAGAGCACTGTCGAAAGGACTGGACACTGTATTCAGTCCTGAGCCCTCTCAGTAACGCTCATGCTCATAAACTTTCTAACAATCTGGCTCACGGACCTTAGGTTCTACTGCACCTCCAGGAGCTACAAGTGTGGCAACACACCCCAAGTTGGCTAGAATGTAGGACTGCTCCATTTTCAGAGTAGCCCTTTTGGTCACGTTCTGTAGCTTTTTACCTTCGAATCCCACCCTGCCCCCATCTTCCCTGTGATCTTTATCCATTCCTATTTTCTTTTACTACCTGGAACTGGGCCCAGTCAGAATCTGGCAGTGGGGCTGAAGGCACTGGCATTGGGTCAAAGCCCTCTTGTGGTGGTTTTCCACTCAAGGCTGCTGTTTTCTGTTTTCAATTTCTAATGAAAATTTTGTGGGCAGTCCAATATTTTATACCAGTCCACTCTAGACTATCTTATGTCCAGCACTATTAAGAGGGCTGCATTTAAAGTCCATGTGAATCCCAATAGGAGGAGATTGTGGAGCGGTATATTCAGCAAGCCTTTATTAGCCACACATGTGTTTATATAAATGTTCAAGCACACTTAAAGACTGAAGGTTGCATGTTAGAATATTTAATGATTATGCGTGATGGTGAGGAGACAGAGGGAAGCTACGTAGACAGGGACAGGGACCATGGGTGGGAAGAGGAAGTAGAAATGGGATACCCAGCTAGGTAGAGTTACTAAGCAACCCAATTGGGCAGGTAAAGAAAGGCACACATGAGAAAAGCGAGGTTTAAAATATATGAACATGGCTAAGACAGGTAGCTTGCAAATAACGAATCACAAGGCTGTGAGGCATACAAACCAATCCCAAGGATGTTACTAAGGCAGAATTATTTGAAAAGACCAATCAAGAACTAGCAAGGCTGTACCCACCCACCCCCTAGATCAGTGATGGCGAACCTATGACACGCGTGTCAGAGGTGACACGCGAACTCATTTTTTTGGTTGATTTTTCTTTGTTAAATGGCATTTAAATATATAAAATAAATATCAAAAATATAAATCTTTGTTTTACTATGGTTGCAAATATCAAAAAATTTCTATATGTGACACGGCACCAGAGTTAAGTTAGGGTTTTTCAAAATGCTGACACACTGAGCTCAAAAGGTTCGCCATCACTGCCCTAGATTAAAAATCGTGCTTTCTCTTGTCCTCTCACCTCTCTCTGGCACACAATGGGTTCCTGAGTTCCTGTGACAGGGGAGAACATCCCTAAGCCCACGCTGCTTATGGCCATGTGGGACTCTGCACATGGATTAATAGACTTTAATTATCTTGGGTGCTCTCAATAAACTTTGGTTCCATTACTCACTTTTGTCTGCTACATCGTTCTTCGATTTTGTGAGACAACAAACTCAGACCCCACATTTTGGTTTCAGTGGGATTACAGATCCTTTTTGTTTTCATATATTTTCTGTAGTGACCATGTATTTCTTCTATTTAAAAAAAAACCCCACTTTTTAAAGTTGGGGTGTGAATGTGTGTGTTATTTTTAGCTCTTGAGGCTAAAATATTCTGTGGGGATATTGAGAATAGTAGATACTGAGAATGAGCTAATAGTAAGGTGTGGCACACAAAAGCTGGGATTTTGGTCCTAGTAATTTTTGTTTTTGTTTATTGTAGCTAAGCTCCACCCATCCATTGGATGGTTGGCATTTTACTTTGTTGAACAGATGAGTGGCATGAGACTGTTAATCTATATCAGGGGCACCAGAAGATGACAGCATTGGTAATTCAGTCTTTGTTTTTAATTTCAGTGGATTCATTTAAAAAAAAAAAAATATATATATTTATATATATATATATATATATATATATATATATATATATATTTATTGATTTCAGAGAGGAAGGGAGAGTGGAGAGAGAGATAGAAACATCAATGATGAGAGAGAATCATTGATTGGCTTCCTCCTGCATGCCCCCACTGGGGATCAAGACTGCAACCCGGGCATGTGCACTTGATCGGAATTGAACCTGGGACCCTTCAGTCCGCAGGCTGATGCTCTATCGACTGAGCCAAACCAGCTAGGGCTCCAGTGGATTCATTTTAATGATAGTATCTGTTATCAGTGGCAAGTGTTGACCTAGTATCTCTTCATCCTTTTGTGTTGGCTTATTATTGGAGTTTAGCACCTGCATTTGAATTTCAATTTTAAATTAGACACAATTAGAATAAGTGGTTTAGACCACAACTTAATAGTAGTTATCTCTGGGTACGATTATCAAGTAAGTTTAATAGTATTCAAAAAAGAAAAACAAAACTCTCAATGACTAACAAGATGTTTAGTATCTACTCTTGTCAAAATAGCTTCCTTTAAAAGAAGGTAGGAGAACCTATTGCCAAAGTAATGGGAAAACAGCGTTGAGTGAAAATGTTTCAGTAGGATGGTTTCTTCTGAGATGCTACTTGGCTAATCCTTGGGGAAATTTGACTGTGAGCATGCAATCATTACATTTTTACACACAGAATGGGCTCAGGTTGGCATTTCATCCCCTGTGATTGCCAGAGGCAACACACTGATTTAATTTGTGCCCCCGTGGCAGACATTTTTGAATAATTTCAGTGATTTTTTTACGCTGTGTTTTCTATTTCCTTTGCGGTTTCCTACCTTTGTTGCTCACCACTCTTGCTGATTGCATTCTGAGGAGAGTGCAGTCATTGCAGGTCCACAGGGTTGTCTGAGAGGCCGCTGCTTTTGTGTCCCTGGCAGTCCGGGGCAGTGCCGCTTGGAATGCTGCCTCTCACAGATTGACAAAAACAGAGCAGGTCTTAACTAGGCATGTTTGACACTTGACTTGGACCCTGAAAAACATACACTTGGGGATTTTGAATTCTTTTGGTGGAGACTTGAAATTTCTCAAAGGGCTTGCCTCTGAAGTTTTGTTTCCTGCTTGTGCCCTTCATGTTTTTGTTGTGCTAACTGTTGTTTAACATGGAAGAGCCCCTGATGCATCTGAGTGCAGATATCTTCTCCTGGATAAGGGGTCGCAGAGGCACAGGAGAGAGCTGGCTGGATCCCTGCTGCTGTGGAGGGTGCCATGCCACTAATGGGCATTATTTACAGGCTTTGGGGTGGGCATGCCTTCCTGAAGCGCTTGAACGTGCAAAAGCCACTTTTATGTCATAGATGTTTGTTTTATAAGTACATTCTTAAGACGATCAGAAAGGGGTGAAAAAGTCATTTCTTATACCATTTCTTAAAATGCAGAGTGGACACAAATATCTACCAGGTATCTTCGAGAGCAGCTGGCCAAGATTTCCGACTTCTACCACATGGCTTCCAGCATGGGTGATGGCCCTGTCCCTGTGCCCCCGGATGTGGAGCAAGCCCTGAAGCAGTGGGAGTACAACGCAAAGCTGGCATTCCACATGTTCCAGGTAACTTGCCAGGCAGCCAAGGCTGTGCAGCATTCTTTTAAAAAGAGAGCAAGTTCCTTATCGTTTAGTTTTCTGGGGGTTAAATTGAATCTTTCTATGAACAGTACATTCAGAGAAAGCCATCTGACATTTCTCACGTTGAATTGGAGTAAAGGTTGCACCTTGGCCCTGAGATGACAGCTGCTTCTTGTACATGTTGACCTCCAGCTTTAATGATGTCAGCCCTGCTAGTGCTGTTACTATGTAATTGCGCTATTAAGTATGATCCTTTTAAACCTTTTCTTTTGCAAAAATTCGATGTGTTCATTCAAAAATATCTTTGTGCTGATGTCTCCTGGTAGATCTTTAGAGTTTCATTATTTCAGAGATAGGTCACCATAATTGGGCTCAGCTGCAGTTCAAAATGCAATTGCTGGGGCCTATAAGGGCACTGTGGCATCCAGACAAGTTGATGTAAATCACATGGACCAGAAGAGGGCGTCTGTGCCTCAGTTTTTACTCCCGGCAAGGAGGAGGAAGTGTGCATATTTAGCTGAAATTGTATCGAAGGCATAGACTTTCACTACCTGCTCTCTTGACCAAAGAGAAAGGGGATTAGAAAGGATGGGTGGCTTCTAAATTTCCTTTTTAGAACTTTAATTATAATTTCCAACTTGCAAGTGATTTTTTTCCTAAGAGCACAAAGTAGGAAAAAGCGTGGTCCTCTTGAGAAATGGCATGGTTGCAGTCAATGAAAACAACTCTTTACAAATCCTAGCTCCACTTATTATAGGATTACTTCAGTGCGTGCTCAATTACTTTTATTGAGCTGAGGATTTAATCTGCATCTTTTAAAACATGTCTCTCAACAAGCTTATTTTCTTTTGGAGGTTATCTTTATGTATTAGGAACATTGGAATCAGTATGTCTTTTTAAAAAATTATTTTACTATTTTTTAAATTTAATTTTTTCCATCACCATTTATTCCCTCTATGCCCTCTTCCACCTCCACCCATCCCCCTCAACCCCCACAATCACTACACTGTTGTCCAGATTCATGGGTTTTTCTCTCACTTTTTTTTTTCTCAATCCCTCTACCTCCCCAGCAGCCCCCCTTCCCCTAGGGTTGTAAACTGATTGGAATCTAATTGTAACATTAATGCTACAATTTGAAAGTTCATGATATTTTTAATTTGTCACATTTTGAAATGTGAAACTGATCCTAGTATGTACACATGCAGAAATAAAGGCATGGGTACATAGACAAAAGCACATTGAGGAGGCACTATTATGTAATCATTGACAATCATTTATTTAAAATTTTTAAAAATCTTAAATTCATCATTTCTTATACCTTAATGCAAAATTCCATTTTATTTATTTATTTATGGAGTGAAAATTCACTTTTCTGGTTTTAAAGTTTTAAATTGAAGTTTTTCTGTTAACAGAAAACACTTTAACACTTTTTGACTTTCAATATTTAAAGTTAGAAATTAGCGACAAGTAAATATCTTGATATCATGTCAGTGTGGTGCCATTGTAATCCTATAAATACTGTATTTATCAGTACATTTTTTTCACACAGTTTGTTGGTAGCCATGGCCGTGGACCACTGGTAATACATAGATCTGTAAGAGGTGCTAAGAACAAAGTTGGAGTTCATATTAACTACTAAGGAAGGTTGTTACCAGAAGGACCATAAAAGTATGTGTCTTTCCTAGAAAGCAGCTTTTTGTTTCTATCTTGAAGTTTCTTTCATGATGTGAATCATGATACAGAACTAATGTGACATCTACTATGTATGTGCAGGGACTATCATAAAATAATGTGTGTATTTATATGTATGTATATGTGAAGGCAGTAGAATGCTTACGTTGAGGGTCTACACCACCCCTGTGGGGTGTTTTGGAAATTTGTAGTTGTGTTACTGTTTCTTACTGTAGTTATGTTGGAATACTTATACATTACAGTATTTTATTATTAATTCCTTTTATTTCTTTTTTTTTTAATATATTTTTTATAGATTAAGATATTACATATGTGTCCTTGTCCCCACGTTACCCTCTACCCCCCCCCCCCCCGCTCATGCCCTCACCCCCCCGTTGTCCATGTCCATTGATTAGGCCTATATGCTTGCATATAAGTCCTTTGGTTGATCTTTCCCCCTTACCCCCACCCTCCCCTACCTTCCCTCCAAGTCCCGACAGTCATCAGCTTATGTTGTTCATTATATTCCACAAATGAGTGAGATCATGTGGTATTTATCCGCTCTCCAGTTCCATCCATGCTGTGGCAAATGGTCAGAGTTCCTTTTTCTTCTTCCTCTTCTTAAAGAATACCTTTCAGCATTTCATATAATGCTGGTTTGGTGGTGATGAACTCCTTTAGCTTTTTCTTATCCGTGAAGCCCTTTATCTGACCTTCTATTCTGAATGATAGCTTTGCTGGATAAAGTAATCTTGGTTGCAGGTTCTTGCTATTCATCACTTTGAATATTTCTTGCCACTCTCTTCTGGCCTGCATGGTTTCTGTTGAGAAATCAGCTGACAGTCGTATGGGTATGCCCTTGTAGGTAACTGACTGTCTTTCTCTTGCTGCTTTTAAGATTCTCTCTTTATCTTTTGCTCTTGGCATTTTAATTATGATGTGTCTTGGTGTGGTCCTCTTTGGATTCCTTTTGTTTGGGGTTCTCTGCGCTTCCTGGACTTGTAAGTTCATTTCTTTCACCAGGTTTGGGAAGTTTTCTGTCATTATTTCTTCAAAAAGGTTTTCAATATCTTGCCCTCTCTCTCCTTCTGGTACCCCTATAATTCTGATGTTGGTACGCTTGAAGTTGTCCCAGAGGTTCCTTACACTATCTTCATATTTTTGGAATCTCTTTTCTTTTTTCTTTTTCGGTTGGGTATTTTTTGTTTCTTTGAATTTCAAATCTTTGACTTGATTCTTGGGGTCCTCTTGTCTGCTGCTGGATCTCTGTAAATTATTCTTTATTTCAGTCAGTGTATGCTTAATTTCTAGTTGGTCCTTTTTCATGTCCTCCATGGTCTCACTATACTTATTGAGGGATTCATTAAATTTATCGGCGGTTTCCATAAAATTCTTGAAAAACCTTATAAACGTGGCCTTGAACTCTATATCCAATCATTTGCTTTCCTCCATTTCTGCCATTTGTGACCTGTTTCTTTGCCTCCGCATTTTGGCAGCTTCCCTGTGTTGATAGAGTGGCCCTGCGCGCCAGGTGTCCTGTAGGGCCCAGTAGCTCAGCCTCTCCAGTTACCTGGGGTGGACACTCTTGGTGCACTCTTGGTGCCTTGGTTGTTGTAGAATCACTGGGAGGAATTGACCTCCAGGCCAATTGGCTGTGAGAATCAGCTATGTCTAAAGTGGGAGAACTTCTGTGCTGAAGACACCCTTCTGGGGCAAGACTTGCTTCAGTGGGGCTTTGGTGCTCACTGAGTCTGCTCCCTGAGTGTGTCCCTTATGGATCTGAGGAGTTGCAATCTGGATGGTCCAGTGGCTCCTGGATCTAAGGAGGTGCTAATTCAGCCTCTGCCTGAGGCCACACAGCAGGAGCCACGAAGAGGCTCAGCTGTGAAGCAATGCAAGCCGCTGCGGGGCCTTGGGACTTCTCTTGGAAGTTCCGGGTCTGCCTGGCTGGGCTGCAGTTAGGTACATTCACATGCAAAAGCCTCTGCCGCAGCCTGGGTGGGGCAGGGTCTCAGGGAATCAAAGGGCGGATCAGGGAGCTATGGCCGATTCTCCGCCCGGAGTCGCGGGTCTCAGTGTCCCGGTAACAGCTGCAAGCACCTCTGAGGGAAAGCCGCCCTCAAGTTCGCCCGCTGCCGGGACAGACCAGCTTCTCCCCGTATGAGACCTGGGTCCCCAGAGACTTCTCGGAACCGGAGTTCAGAGCAGTCGGGAGTTTGTGATTCAAAAAGGCAGCCGCGTCCTCAGGCGCCACCCCCTTTCCTCGCGCGCGCGCGCCGCCGTACCTCTGCACTTCACCTCCGCAGCGCCTCTGGCTCTCAGCGTGCTTCTCTTTCCTTCTAGTTGTAGAATTTACACTCAGCCAGCCTTTCTGTTGTTCTGGATGATGTTTGCTCAGTCCTTTGCGGTAATTTTCAATTGTTGTGTGAGGCGACAATTTCCCGGTGTTTACCTATGCCGCCATCTTAGTTTCTCCCTCCTTTTATTTCTTTATAATATAGTTATGCCATTATCTTTTTTAAGATATATTTTACAGGTAGCTTATAGTATCTGAATTTCATTTGGGGATAGAGGAGACTATTAAGGGGGCATTAGATCTGGTGGGATTGTCAACTTCTCATCAAGATAATGGTATGATGGGGGCTTCTTTATGATTATCGCCATTGGCCAGATTTCCTCCTGTGAAGATGAGTTCATACACCTCAAAATCTAGCCAGGTGCTTGATACATGCCTTGGGAGTCTTTTCAGTTTTCTTTCTTGTAGGAATCAATTTTTTTTTAAAATTGAGAATTAAGCAGAGTACCAAAAACCACAAACAACAACAACAAACCCCCAAAGCAACCATACAAAGTAATATTAGTTCTTTGTGTTTGAAATTGGGACTATGATCAATGAGTTTCACTACAACAAAAACAATAGTAAAATTATGCTTAAGCATAAGAATAGCAGTGCTTTTTGCATTTTAGTTAGTTTTACTTTAATATTATTAGTGTAATTTTTCTTTGTTCATTTAAGGAAGGAATGCTGGAAAAACATGAATATTTGACATGGATCTTGGATGTTTTAGAAAAGATCAGACCAATGGATGATGATCTTCTTAAACTCCTATTACCATTAATGCTTCAGGTATAGTATATATAACCAGTTGATTTCATGGGCAGGAAATGATCTGATAAGAATGCTTAGGTAAGTAGAGATGGAAGAGGAAAAAATTGCCCTTTGAAATGGAAGGAAAAAAATATCTTGATGCTACAACACATGAAGTGATACGAGGCTTCAGTTCTGGCAGTCATTTGTAATGGCCATTTCATAGTTTTAGCCACATGCCCTTTTAAAGTATTCTCATTACATTGATTTCTACCATCACTGAGCTAAGCAAACAGCTCTTTAAATACTGTCCCCTTGTTCACACAGATGTCTGTGAAAACAAAACAAGTCATCTCTTTTTAAGGACCCAGAGGACCTTCTACATTCATTTGACATGTTTTGAGCCACTGTGGGAACTTCCTATTTTAATGATTGGTCTAAAATTTGTTGAAATTTAAGGTTATCTGGATGACATTTATTTAAAAAATTAAAATTTCCTTGGAAAGGTAATGCATGTACTTGAGTATTCAAACGATACAAAAGAGATTCTAATGAAAAGTCACCCATTTCCGGCCCCAGTGTACCCTTTCCGAGGCTGCCCCATGCTGGTCCTGTGTGTCCTCTCTGGGGTGCCTGGGCCTGTGCTGCCTAGTAGAGGAGCCGGCAGCCAGATGTGGCAGTTAACTGTTGGAACTGTGACAAGTACAAATTGATATGTGTTCTTGGTACAAAATACACACCAGATTTCAGACTTAATGCAGAAAAAGCGTATATATAATGTCTCAATACATCTTGGTTTGATTACATGTTGAAATGATAACATTTGCCTGTATGAGGATAAATAAAATATATTATTCTTTTAAGTTTATCTTTGTTTTTCCAATGGCTATTAGAAAATTTAAAATTACTTATGTGGCTTGTGTTATGTTTCTGTTGGACAGCACTGGTCTATACGGTACCTTTGAAGTTTGTCTTTTTAAATAAAAAGAATTCTGTATTACGATAGTTATTTCATCGACATGACCGAGTCTGGTGTCCTTGTGCTCCTCAGTATTCAGATGAATTTGTTCAGTCGGCCTACCTGTCTCGTCGTCTTGCCTACTTTTGTGCCCGGCGTCTTGCCTTGCTGCTGAGCGATAGCAGTGGCCTCCTCACTGCCCACTCGCCCCACATGATGATAGGACCAAACAATGCGAGCATTGGGGCCCCCAGCCCTGGCCCCCCCGGCCCCGGCGTGAGCCCCGTGCAGCTGGCCTTCTCAGACTTTCTGTCCTGTGCACAGCACGGTCCCCTCATTTATGGACTTAGTTGTATGTTGCAGGTAAGTCCTTTGACCTTGTTACTTATGTTAGATTTCAGTGTAGGAGATAATTGTGGTGGGAATTGCAACAGCTTTCACATCTCAGCTCTAGTTTCTTCCACAACCGCATAATTTATAGATTGAAGTTTCATGTTTTTATTTCCCTATGTTAAATCACGCCAAAAGAAGATCAGTTGCTTTAGTTTAGCAGTAAGTTATTGTGCTTGTTCTTCATGAGGGCCATTAAGTAGTCAGTGAGTAAACCCCTTTAGGGAATCCATGGAACAAGCCAGCTGTATCACTTCTCTGGAAGATCAGCTTCTTCATGCAGCATCTTTAGCTTCCTCAATTCACATCCTGAGTAGTTGCCTTTTCTCTCTTCCTTTAAATCCAATCAATCCATCCTGCTTTGCTCCATTGAGCATCGCTGCTGGTGCCCTGCCGACCATCCCCAGCATGCTGGCCCCTGAGCTGATGCTGTTAGGAATGAGGTACAGCCCCGCACTAGAGGAGCTCCCAGCTTAGTGTTCAGGTCACACTTCTTGGGCTCTTAATGTGTCCAACTGTTGGCTAAGGGGCTTTGGGACAGGCCTGGCCTTGGAGAGACAGTCTCTGCTCTGGTAGAGTTTGCTGCTTTGTCAGGAAGACAGCTGACAGGCAGTTTCTGAGACTCGGACAAGGGCTGACAGAGGGATGCACAGTGAGCTAAGGGAGTTGAGAAGGATCATTTCTGATCCCACCTAAAATTCAGGGGAGCTTCCTGAGGACATAGTCCTGACTGGTGCTTACAATACGAGTTAAAAAAGGTGGTAGAGTGTTCCTGGCAGAGCTCACAGGAGGGGCAGAGGCTCAGAGGGTTGGCTGGCCCTCTTGGGTGCAGGTCGGTATTAATGGAACATGGAGTATAAAATCTGTTGGGGATCAGCACATAGAAGACCCTTGTGCACCTTATGTTTGGGTATAACTGGAGGATTTTGTGCATGGAAGTGACAGTGTGTGGTTAGTTAGATTGTTTTAGCAACAGTAGAGGGACAACTTATGGGAGTGAGGAAGTAGGGGGAGAGAGAGACAAGGCAAAGAAGTAAGTTTGGAAGAGTCTAGGTAAGTTCAATTTTGGACTGATTTATCCCTTAGGATCTCCAAGTGGGTATTTTCAAGAGGTTGTGACATGTCCAATTCTGTCTCCTGAGCCAAGATGACCGGCCACATGTGGATTTGAATCATTCAAGGCATGTGGCTGGGAGGGGCGAGGTTACCTAAAGAATTAGTGGTGGGAGAGGCTAGGTGGACCAAGGGGCATGAGTTGTTAGAGATGGCAGAGGGGATTTCACAGAGATGACCCAGAAAGTTGGGTCAAACTGGAGAGAGAGAGAGAGAATTTATTGTAGAAACAAAGATGAGGAGAAGAAGAATACTGAGCATGTTCTATGTTCTAGGCACTGTTCATATATTAAGCCATCTAGTTCTCAGAACCACCTTATCTGATAGTAACCTCTGTTATTTTTGTAACACTAACGATGAAAAGGTAGTATAGGTCACACGTGAGGTCAGCAGTAAAGCTGGAATTCAGACCAAAATTCTGGATCCAGAGTCCACATTCTTGGCAACCACATTAAATGTCTTCTCTAGGTACTGCAGAAAGTTTCGAAATGGAGTTAGTAGTGGTAGTGGCAGTGCCCAGTGGATTGGGGAGGTCTGGTAAGAAGGTGGCTGAACTTATCTTCGACAATATGGTGGTGTCTTTGATGATCAGTCAGATTTTGGGTGAGAAGCCAGGTTAAGGCAGGTTGACAGGTGATGCAGAATGAGGTGAAATAATGCTCCTCTTAGTCTGAGAACTGTGTCTATGAAGGCAAGAGATAGAAATTGCAGCTGTGTGAATGAGATTTTTTTTTAAAAAATTATTTTTGACGGGCGTATTTCTAAGCTAAGGGTAGACTAGTAGAGGTGAGTCTGGGAATAGTATTTGATAGATCATTGTCTTGGACATGGGAGGCTTTGGAACTCAGAACGCAAGGGAAGGGCTCTGCCATGGACAGGGGGTGAGAACCGCACGGTGTCACAGACAGGATGAAGTGGGGAGGGATAGATGCCAGGGGGGATGTGCACTGGAGGGTTCAGAGACTTTACGGTCCTCCTGTTTGCCATCTGGTTTCCACAGACATGTCTCCATACCTCCCAAGGCAGTACTTTTATTTTTCTATTCACTTTTTAGAAAAAGGAAATGTTACATCCATTCTCTCAGCTCTTTGTTTGCTGTTGAGTGGTATGACAGCAGAATGGTTAAGACATACACTTTATTTTTTTAAATATATATTTTATTGGTTTTTTTACAGAGAGGAAGGGAGAGAGGTAGATAGTTCGAAACATCGATGAGAGAGAAACATCGATCAGCTGCCTCCTGCACACTCCCTACTGGGTATGTGCCCACAACCAAGGTACATGCCCTTGACTGGAATTGAACCTGGGACCCTGGCATCCACAGGCTGATGCTCTATCCACTGAGCCAAACCGGTTAAGGCAAGACATATACTTTAAAATCATTCAGACAGCCCTAACCGGTTTGGCTCAGTGGATAGAGCGTTGGCCTGCGGACTCAAGGGTCCCAGGTTTGATTCCGGTCAAGGGCATGTGCCTTGGTTGCGGGCACATGCCCAGTGGGGAGTGTGCAGGAGGCAGCTGATCGATGTTTCTCTCTCATCGATGTTTCTAACTCTCTATCCCAGTCCCTTTCTCTGTAAAAAATCAATAAAATATATTTTAAAAAAATAAATAAAATCATTCAGACAGACCTGACTTGGGCTCTGCTCTGCCAGTTGGTAACTTGGACCTTGAGGCTCTGTTTCCCAAGTGTGAATAGGGGATGATGACAGTTCTTCTTCTTCTTCTTCTTCTTCTTCTTTTTCTTCTTCTTCTTCTTCTTCCTTCTTCCTTCTTCCTTCTTCCTTCTTCTTTTTCTTCTTCTTCCTTCTTCCTTCTTCTTCCTTCTTCTTCCTTCTTCTTCCTTCTTCTTCTTCCTTCTTCTTCCTTCTTCTTCCTTCTTCTTCCTTCTTCTTCCTTCTTCTTCCTTCTTCTTCAATATTACCTATAGTACGACATATGTCTCCTTTTACCCCCATTGGCCACCCCCACCTCCCCAGCACATGCCCTCACCCCCCTAGTGTCTGTGTCCATTGGTTATGCTTATATGCATGCATACAAGTCCTTTGCTTGATCCCTTACCCCCCACCTCCACCTTCCCCTGCCTTCCCTCGGAAGATTGATGGACTGTTTAATGCTTTACTTATTACCAGATGGGGTTAAGGTTATGAGGACAGAAAGCTTCCAGGATAGTGTTCAGCACAAAGTGTGTGTTCAATTAGATGTGAGCTGTACTATTTACTTTGCATTTTAGAGGCAGCAGGATCAACATAGGAGTGCCAGGCACGTGTGCTGGACTCAATTTGGGGCTGTTACTAATCTCTGTCTCACGTTCCTCTTTCACACAGTTGGGGAATGGGGTTGCTGTGACGTAGAAGTAAGGTGGTCATAGAAAGTACTTCGGGCAAGCTGGTTGAGTAAGACAGTCTGTAAGGAGCTCAGCCAGGGTGGACGAGCTACAACTGAGGGCCAAGTGCAGCCTGTGAGCTATAATCATTTCATGTTTACAATGAGTTATTAAAACAAAAAAAGAAGAATATGAGAGAGAAACTATAGATGTTCCAAAAAGCTCAAAACATTTACTATCTTGCTTTATATAGAAAAAATTTGCCAACCATGATGATTACTTTATTTTTATGTTTCCTAGGTTTCCTGTACTAGGTTTTCTGTACTAGGTAATTTCGTAATACTATACTTCCTCCCTTTCAAAGGGGTAATTCTGTCTTAGTTTTGTCTTATCACTTGAAAAGATGAGAATGGGATAAGATATTTTAATATTACTGGTAAGAAACTGTAATAGTCATGATAAGGTGTCATTTTACTGTGAAGCTGTTGTTATACCTTTTCTTTCTCTTTATCTGGATTTTCCCGCTTTCTCTCCAGACTGTCACTCTCTGTTGCCCAAGTGCCTTAGTGTGGAATTATTCCACAAACGACAGTAAGAGCGTGAACCCAGGCTCACCCCTGGATCTGCTGCAGGTGGCGCCCTCCAGCCTCCCCATGCCCGGCGGGAACACGGCCTTCAATCAGCAGGTAGACTTTCTGTTGCAGTACTTTGATGGGGGTTCTCATTCTTGTGAGTCGTCAGGGCATGGAGGGCCAGGTGGGTTTTAACATCTCACATGCTTGGGTGGCATTCCCAGCTCTGCCCCTCTCTCTGGGTGGCCTTGGGGGGAAGCATGTTGCTCCCTTTCTTCTTACCCTTTGCCAGGCAGTTCTTACAGAGAGTTCTGCCACCCAGACGATAATTATAGTGGTATTCCACAACTCTCAAAGTAGTGGTCTGTGATATTTAGTAATTATTATGTTTTTATTAGTGCTGGGTTATTTGGTTCGAAGACTTAAGAAACTTGAACCAAAGAATAGTGACTAATATTTAGAAAAATGTCTCTGTTTTTTCAGAGCAGTCTCATTAAGTTAATAAGCATGATTGGTTGCTTTCATACGTAGAAGAATGGCTTATAGATGATATTTAGAACTTTAACTTTCTATGTGATGTCCTAATATATTTTCAGTTATAAAGTTTTTTTTGTAAGCATTTATTATTAAAAACTGGCATAGAATCACCACTTGTAAATTTTAAAATTCACTCTTGGGGAAACAGGCTGAACTTCCTACAATGCAGTGAATACTGTATATAGTTCACCATAGGATTCTCTACTCATGTGGAAAATCATGACATGATTTAAACAACCACTGTGGCTCTCCAATCACAAGTTAATTAGAAGTGCTTATTTTTCAGGTTCGGGCAAGGATTTATGAGGTAGAACAGCAGATAAAACAGAGAGGTCGTGCAGTGGAAGTTCGGTGGTCTTTTGACAAGTGCCAAGAGTCAACAGCAGGTACAGAACACAACGGAGGAGTGCTTTTGAACATGGGACTTCATCTGCCATGCTTCTAATTCTCATCACCCTGTCCACATATCGGATAAGGATGCTCTCTGCTCTCTGCTCTCTGACGGAGCCACCTAGTGAATTCTGAGGAAGTTCTTCTTCTTCTTCTTAAATATATTTTATAGATTTTTGATTTTTTACAGAGAGGAGGGGAGGGGGGTAGAGAAACATTGATGAGAGAGAAACATCAATCAGCTGCCTCCTGCACACGCCCTACTGAGGATGTGCCCGCAACCAAGATACATGCCCTTGATCAGAATCGAATCTGGGACCCTCCAGTCCGCAGGCCGACGCTCTATCCACTGAGCCAAACCGGTTAGGGCGTGAGGAAGTTCTTTATGCCCTTCAGACCCTGGCTGTCTAGTTTGCCAGGTTTGGTTTTGTTGGCAACTCTTCTATCCTGGGAATGATTTTTTAAAACCTCTTTTGCACCCATAATAATGAGTTTTGTACTGTGCTGTTTGGCCTCATTTAGCCTCTTTAACTTCTTGCTTACTTTCCATTTCTAGGGGTCACCATTAGCCGGGTTTTGCACACATTGGAAGTGTTGGATCGACACTGTTTTGACCGAACTGATTCTAGCAATTCATTGGAGACGCTTTATCATAAGATTTTCTGGGCACACCAAAATAAAGATAACCAAGAGGTAGTTATTTTTTTCTTCTTTTCCCATTTTATTAGCATATTTTCTTCTTTTTCATTCTATAAATTTTGCCAAAGCCTTCACAATAAAGTGTAATACCTTGTGAAGAGGTCTTCACCCTGAAATCATTCTATTGTACGACTAAAAGTTCCACCATTATAAAAATGTCCATTGGGCTGGTCTACTAGGTATATCGGTTGGAAAGCTTTTTCTTCATCCTTTTATTGTCATTTCTCATCATTTTCATTTTAGAAGAATATCCTTCATCTAGTGATTGGATTTTATGCAGTGGTTTGGCTTTAATGCAGTGGAAGTAATAGATTTAGCATATCAGAAAGCAGCGAATTAATACCTGTGGTTATGGTCTTTGAAAAATCTGTAGACAGTATATTATACAGCATTCTCCAGAGAAACAGAACCAATAGGGGAAGTAAATATATATATATATATATATATATATATATATATATACACACACACGCACATACATATATATATTAAGAGAGAGAATATTTACAGTCATTTGCCACATAATGATATTTCAGTCAATGACAGATTGCATATATGACAGTGGTCCCATAAGATTATAATGGAGCTGAAAAATTCTTATTGCCTACTGATGCTGTAGTACAGTGTGTTGTACTACATATGTTGTACTACATAATGTTGTAGTACAGTGTGTTGCTCATGTGTTTGTGGTGATACTGGCATAAACAGACCTACTGTGCTACCTGTCATATAAAAGTATCGCACAAAAGTATAGAATATAATACTTGATAATGATAATAAAATGACTGTGTTACTGGTTTGTGTATTTGCTGTACTTTTAATTGTCATTTTAGAGTGTACTCTTTCCACTTATAAAAAAAAAGTTTGGTATAAAACAGTATGCTGTGTTAAGCCAGCAGCAGCCAGCCTCATACACCTTGTGTTTACCATGTTTGATTGCATCATTTTCTCATGTGCTCAACTTAATCTCATGTTGTTTTGTATGGTAACATATTCTGTATAGGCTCGTAGCCTAGGTGTGTAGTAAGTTAGACCATCTAGGCTTGTGTAGTGCACTCTGATGTTCGTACAACAAAATTGCCTATTGATGTATTTCTCAGAATGTACCCTAGTTGTTAAGTGGTGTATGGCTGTATTTTAAGGAATTGGCTCACATGATTATGGGGGCTGGCAAATCTGAAATATGCAGGGCAGGCCAGCAGGTTGGGGATCCAGGGAAGTGCTGATGTTGCAGCTTGAATCTGAAGGCAGCCTGGAGGCAGAATTCTTTCTTCCTTGGGGTCCTGTATTTTCTCTTAAGGTCTTTAACTGATGGAATAAGGCCCACCCATGTTATAGAAGATAATCTGCTTTACTAAGTCTATGGATTTAAACGTTATTCATATATATTTTTTTTAATATATTTTATTGATTTTTTACAGAGAGGAAGGGAGAGAGATAGAGAGCTAGAAACATCGATGAGAGAGAAACATCGATCAGCTGCCTCCTGCACATCCCCCACTGGGGAAGTGCCCGAAACCCAGGTACATGCCCTTGGCCGGAATCGAACCTGGGGCCTTTCAGTCCGCAGGCCGACGCTCTATCCGCTGAGCCAAACCGGCTTTGGCGTTATTCATATTTTTAAAAAAGTCTTCATCTAAATTGGAGTTTGACACCAAGACATAGCCTAGCCAAGCTGACACATAAAATTAACCATCACACAGACAGTTGTTATCATATGCTTCCTAGTAATAGATTGTTTCATTACTGAACTTATCTATGACCATCAGATTTTCAGGTGTTTTTTTTCCCCCTTCTTATTTTGTGGAGAAATAAAAAGCTTGTGTTCTTTTTACAATGGAAAGTGCCTGTGGTATGTCCAAGTTGTGCTAGGTTCCAGGAATGCAGAGGTAAGTTTTAAGACATGGTACCTACCTTCAATGAATACCTTAGTTAACTGATTATAAATATCTTTGGTTTTCATAGTAATCTTTGGGGATTTCATATATGGAAAGAAGAGAAAACAAAAAGAACCACCACAAATCTTTCACTGTCCTACCTCCACGTGAACTTGATGTGAATCTTTCCCATATTACTTTTGTTTTGGAATATATGTGGGTCATCACTCTGCTTCTCGAAGATAAGGTTCATGCCAACTAGGGTATCCGGATGCTGTGAGTGAGGCACACAGACCCAGTCTAATTTCTAACTCGAGCCTAAGTGGAAATGCTTCAGTCCTTCCGGAGAGCATACTGATGATAAAAGTCTACATAGTTCTCTGCTCACTGACATAGGACAGAGTGATACTGGGTTCTTCTGGGGTGGACACCTTGAAATCTTTTTTTTTTTTCGGAATAAAGACTTTCTTAGATAAAAGGCTTCAAGAGTGCTAAGATTTGTAATATGTAGACGTGAGCTATCTGGAAGGAAAGTAGGGCTACCTGAGATTCAAGGTGTGCTTTTGGATTGCTAACCTGCTTGCGCTAAATGTTGAGTAAAGACTATATTGTTCCCAAGTGAGTTTTACCTAGTCCACCCAAACCGCTTTAGTTTTATGGTTAGCCTGACTACGACGTATCTTTCTAGTTCGTGAAATGACCAACTTCAGAATTCCTATGCCTCATTCACGCACAGACTTAAGTTACAGGACTCTTAAAGAGAAAAATCATGAGTGTCTGAATGTTTTTGAATAAAATTATATTATCAGATTCTCTCTCAAGCACAGTTATCTCCAATGTGGGTGCCTGAGGTGGGCCATTGGGTGCAAGAGGAAGTGATTAGAATTTCTATTTAGATTACATTTTAAAACAACCAGTTCTGTTTTGTCTAGGTTTTATAATAAACATAATTGTTATGCTGATATTAGTATAGAAACCAATAAATATGTGTTGAGTGAGAGTGTTTGCTAAAAAAATACTGAGCTGAAAAGGTATGTAAGAAATGTTTGGCGATCTCTGCTGTAAGCATCCTCAAGTGAGGGACTTCGCCCAGAATATGAGAAGTGCGTCCCACTAGAGGGCGATGTGTGCTCATGGCAGAGAGTCCTGGATACTCTAGTCACAGACATACTCCATTGGAAGGAACGTTAGTGTTGCCCATTTAGGAGTAATTATATTGCATGTTGACTCAACACCAGAAAGATCTGATCTGAGTGAGTGGTTGCTTTGTGATTACTATGCTGTTTAATGAATAAGACAAAAAAAACTACATTTTAACCTGTAAGTCAAACTGGTCATCTTTTCTTAATAATTGGTCAGAAAGAATAACTGGATGGAGCCTTCTGAAACACTTAACATGAAATTATTTTTTACAATATGACTTTGGCATCTACTTGTGTGCGCGCGCGTGTGTGTGTGTGTGAACATATGTATGTGTACTAGTATGTATGTGAATGGCAATGTTGCATCTCTGTTTACTCACCACAGGGTTTGCTGTTTTCTTGACTTCTGAGTCACATTATATGTTTCTGGAATCCATCTATGAACCATGCAGCTGTATTGACTGCTCAGCTCTGTGACCTCAAACAAGTTACTGGTGGGCTCTGCGCCTTAGTGCTCTTACTTGTTAATCAGCATAGAGCACTTGACTCACTTGTCTCTAAGGAGACAGAGTACTTTCAGAATTATTAAGCACTATGTAAATGTGTTTTAAATTGTTATTATTAGTAATAATCATTATTAGGATTATATTAGAAGAACCAATATAATGTTATGTTGGAAGTAATTCTCTGATAAGGAGGAGTTGTATAAAGTGGTGTAGTTGGTATTCAGAAACACATCTCATTTATTTAAAAGGAACTTCCCCTTTTTGATTTTATAATTTGTTAAGGCTTAGACAACGTGATAGATAATAGGATATGCGGCAGCCTCTGCAGTTGCAGTGAGTCTGAGGTTTGCTTTTGCTGAAGTCATGTGTAGGGTCATGAACTGCATAATCTCCTCACATCTGTTTGGGAAACTTGAACTCCATTCTCCTCGATTCCCTTTTTTCTGAAACTGCTAAGGGGAAATGCTATTCTCTCTATTCTCGTGTGGGATGGGGAGAACAGCTGTCCAGATGTGATGAGGGGCAGAGGGCCAGGTTTGTTGTGTAATGTCTTGGAGTTTGGTGAAAGCCCATTGTAAACAGTGATGTACGAGATGGGATTCGAGGCCTTGGCCCTGCCCTGTGGTTGGAGTGTGGTCACAGGGAGTAGCAGCTGACATTGTGCCAGGCCTGTGCTTGGGGTGTGCCAGGTCTACAACATGCTTTCACTCAGCTCACATAAAATGCATTGTTCCTTTACCCTCCTTCCTTCTCCACTCTCTCCCCAATCCTCAGCTACTGCTTCTGTATCAGGGTTTGGGTACTAGTGTAAGAGCATGAAAGTGCAAATCTCAAAACACCCTCAGTGTTAGTTTTTCTAGATCTGTGCCACTTGATTTTCCGTTCAGTGGAGAGTAAGGTGTGAAAATGGCAATTCCTAGGGCAGGGTTGGGCCACACAAGGGCCAGACAGGTGCAGTGCACTGGTGATGGGCTGCTGTGCACAGGGTGGGCTGAGGTGACCGGGAAATGGGGATGCCTTTTAGGAAAGGGGTGGCCTCTCAGATTCTACTTGGGTTGGCGGACCCACTGTTGCTGATCATCATCATTTCAAGAGAACTGGGATATCAAGATGTGTATGTAACCTTTCTAAGCCTTACAGCACTCTCCAGGCAGTCCGCAGGTCTGCTGGTCGTGTTTGCTCGGATGCCTGTCACTTTCCAACTCCTGGTACGTGTTTCATACAACCTTTACTCACTCATTTGCCTACTTAGTGTTTTAGAACCATTCCTACTCTTGGTGGTAGAGACAGAGAAGCCGGCATCCCTGTGAGGGAGTTACTGTGTGGGGTGAGGACCTCCGCTTCCTGATGCTGATGGAGCCCATCACTTGTGAACTCACCTGAGCAGTAGGATGAGGGGTGTCCCCTCAACCCTCCAGAGCCATGTACCACTTCTTCCCTCTTGGCTTCTCTCCTTGTTTTTGTGGGTG